TCAAATTCAAATTACCTGCTCAGACTACTGATGTGCTCCAAACAATGGTCATGTCCGTTCATGTAGAGATCGACGTTGTTCCTCTGAAGGATTGGAAGGAATTTCTCAACAAGCTCCTTGGTGTCGCCGTGATGCCCAACACTTCTGATTGCATGGTGACCCACCACAATCTTCCATGTTGCCGTCGACTGACTCAGTGCAGTGTCTACATCCCTGAGAAGATTGGCAATGTACTTCTTTCTTGGAAGAACACCTCTCCAATCGTAGATGTGATCCTTTGGGTCATAAAAGTACATGTCCACAAATGGATTTGTGTCCACAAAGAAGAATTCCACAATTCCTAGCAAACAGAAAAAGATGAAAACAAAAGAAATTCAGCTTTTATTCTTTTTGAGCTGCTTTAAATTTAATGGGAATTGACTTTTTTCCTTTAAATCATACCTGCATTGACAACAAAAGATCTCAAGCAAAGCCATCTGCTATCTTTCTGCTTTAGGACAGGGCTCAGTTGCGCCTTCACATTGCCCCTGTAATCATGGTTTCCCAAAACTGTAGAAGAAAAAAAAAAACAAAAAAAACTCAATTAATTCAACTCTGATAATAAGAAGAAGAAGAAGAAGAAGAAACGAAAAATGATCTTACCACTGTACCACTGCTTTTGCAAACTCTTAGCGGTGTAGACCTTGGTAAATGATTCCTCGAAGTTAGGATCGTTTTCGCCCGTCAAACCGTTGTCATAAAAATTATCACCAACAGAGATCACGAAATTAATGTTTAGTTTCTCTCCAACCCTCCCCATCTGCAACAAATAATTTTCCAGGAAAAGAATGAAAATCAAATACAGGCGTATTCTTATTCAAATATAAACAATTTTGGTATTTAATTTACGCGTCACGGACCAAATAGAATGCAAGAAAAAATGAAAGAAAATAATGGAGAATGTCTGAAATCAAAATAAATTAACAAGAAAACATCCAACACATGAATTATTATTTGTAATTCAGTTTGCAGAGAAAACCTGAACATATCGACCCAGAAAGAATTGAAGAAAGGGTATAATATGGTGTGCAAGTAAAGATGTTTGTTTATAGGACCTGAACGGCAACTTCAGACTGGTTGTAAGTTCCTCTTCTTCCCCAGTCTCCGATGACCAAGAARCTCAGTGACCCATCATCATTTGCGGGATGGTCGAATCTTTGAAGCTCTGCAACAGACGAGATCACCAAGCACATGGTCATAACAAGGCACAGAGCCATGGATTTGATACTCGCATGGGCCGCCATGGCTCTGTTAGGACGAGGATGAGGAGGAAAAAAAAAGAAAAAAAAAACAAAGATACAAAAGTACTCAAAATAAGAAGGGTAGAGAGGTAGATGGTAAAAAGAGAGAAAGAGACGAGGAAATTGGGATGAATGTAGAAGGTATTTATAGATGAAGCGTGGTTCTATAATTGAACAAGGAGCAGAAGGATTCTGGGGAGATTGTTTCTTGACCACGAATTGAATTGAACTAATCGTTTCAGTCTCCTTAAAACGAAAAAGTGTACAACTCCACATATTATGTATAATTTAAGATAATTTCTACCGGGACAAGCGGCCTATGGGCATTAATAGCCGGTTTTAGGTTTTCTAGGTGGTAAGGAGCTTCGATATGATTCCATGTGGCAAATTTCCAGTTTCCCATAGGCTAAGATCTGTCATTTTAATGTCTCCTTAATTCCCTGTTCTCTTTTTTTATCCCGCCTCTCATGCAAAAAAAAAAAAAAATCTTTGTTAGCCCATCTGTTTAATTTGGAGATAGAATGACAGATGGCAATTTGATCCACCCCTGTCAGGACTCCGATCGTCGCTGCTCAAATTCGGATAATTTTTTTGACCATTTACCCGTTCGAGGCGAATTTATGGAAAACCCAAAACTCTAGTAATTGGGGATGGAATAGGGGTAATATTTGTCCTCCCGACTCTAAATTTGCCCCAATAGATAACATATATTATCATGTGTTAGACCTGGCAAAAAGTTGATCTAACCGTCGAGTCCAACCCAATCTAACCCAATCCAACCCAACCTAATCTGACCTAATTGTCAAGTTTAATTGGGATTATTTATGTATTGTTAGAAGTTTTTGCTCTTTAATTTTTTTTTACTTAGTCTTTACTTTTTATTGTTTAGTCTATAAATTGTTAAATGTTGTCCTCCCGATTCTAAATTTAACCCAATAGATAACATATTATCATATGTGTTAGACCTGGCAAAAAGTTGATCTAACCTGTGAATCCAACCCAACCTGACCCAATTGTTAGGTCTAATTGGGATTATTTATGCATTGTTAGAAGTTTTCACACTTTAATTTTTTTTATTTAGTTTTTACTTTTTATTGTTTAGTCTTTAAATTGTTAAATGTTCAAATTTTTTATTTTATATTTAGAATTTAAAGGTTAATTCTTTTAATTTTGATATTTTTCATTTAATTTTTTTTTTATTTTTTTAATTTCAATTATTTTTTGGGATGACTTGAATTGACCCATGGGTCAACCCTAACCCGAATATTTAGGGTTAGGGCCTAGCATTGGACAACCCAACCCGAAATCCAATCCGACCCGAAATCAACCCGAAGTACTTTGACCCAATCCAAACCCGATGCACCCAACCCAATTGCCCGGTCTAATACGTATATAATGTGTTATTTTAAATAGTTTCTACGTTTTCTACACCATTTAAGTCTCCTTAAAATGAAAAGGGTAAAATATAAAAACCTCGTTTATAGTTTCACTTTAACAAAACCTCTCCTAAACTTTTAAACTTTTAAAGAACTCGATAAAAACCTCCTCAACAAAATTATGAAATTGCCCCTGATTAATGCGTTAGGCATCAATAAAATATTTCAAAAAATCAAAATCGCTCTGCTTTCCCTTCCTCTCGTCGCATAACAAGGGAACGACGTGAAATCCTTCCCCCAATCTCCCCCCACTAATTTTTCTCCTTGATTTTTCCATTCTCCAGCTCTCTTCTCCGTCCCCACTGTTTCCCACTCTCTTCCATCGAGCTGGAGCAACTAAAAAGCATTTTTCATCTTCTTCACAGCGGCAGCGAATAGAGTTTCTGCAACTAGCAACCTCCTCAAATCTCTCTCATTCTATTTTTTCTCTCTCTCCCTCTCTTTCTCTTCTTCTCCATCTTCTGTTGCTTCCCATTCTTTCTGTTTTTGCTTCCTCTATTTCTTTTGACTACTACTGCAACTCTCAATAGCGGTGGTATGCTTTCTCCTCACCACTTCTCTCTTCTCTATCTCTTGTTCTCTCTCATTTTCTCCTTCTATCTCTCTCTCTCCCCTCTTTGCACCCCCTTGATAATGTATTGGGTCTCCTTCCCGCTTGCAGCGGCAGTTGAGCGGACAAGGTTAGAGCTGGTTAATGATCTCCATCTTTGCCTTTCTTTGTCCTTCTATGCTTATTTACTTGTATTCTTTATTTTACTCCTCACGCTTCTTGAATTGGATTCCGTTACTTCTTGTCTTGTTAACTTTAGATAGAGGATTGGCGTTTAACATCAATGTTGTGTTTCAGAGTAAGGTCTAGAGATCTCAGACAATAATTCTTTGGTTTTGCTAATGGTAAGGAAAATCCGTTCTTGCATCCACACATGACAGTTGATGTATTAACAGTATAAGAAATTGGAAACTTGAAAAGACCAATATGTTCTACACTCGGAGAAATTCGGTTTAAATTTTGAGAGGAGAATCAGAAATAGGTATTCAAGCTAAAGAAACATCAAAATGTGGTGACCCTCCATTTTCATCACCTCTTAGCAACTTCCTCTTACTCATATCTCTCCTCTTCACCTCTCATAATCCCCAACTGATCATAGATATTTTGTTATTTGATTTCATTGTCAATCGAATTGAGTTCTAGTAGCAATGACAACTTAGCCACACCCAGAACATCGCCTCCCCTCACCAACCTCTTAGGCCATGTTCTTTTTTCGGAAACACATTTACCTGGGTAAATGCAGTTGTCCAGATAAAATGAAATCCCTTATTTCCCATGTTCTTTTGCAATACCGATTTTCCTGGGTAAATTGTTATTTTTTTCATCTCTTTCCAATTTTACCCATTGAGAGATACCTAGGGTCATGTTCTTTGGGGATTTTGTCTCATTAAAACATAACTTGTCCAAATAATAGCTTGAATAACCTGTTCAACTATAATATGTCCAAGTAACAAGTTCAATAACTTGTTTAATTATAACCTATCCAAACAATAACTCGTTCAATAACCTTGGTATCCAAACAAAGGAAGAAAAACAACACCCCTAAAACTAACAGAGCATCAAAGCCTAAAACGAACAAACCGTAGCAGATGACTAAACAAAGACCTGCAACGGACCTAGAAACCAAAAGCGCAACAGAAAGCAGAAAGAAGCAAAACCCAAATGGAGGAACACAACAATACCTTGGTATCCAGCACGACGGCACAGAGTATCCCAGTGTTCTCCATGGCGGTTTTGAGGTTATCAAGGGTTTCTTGGTGGTAAGCGTGAGAACCGTGACAGAAGTTGAAGCGTGCAACGTTCATGCCCGCTCTCAACAACTTCTCGATCATAGGCACTGACCTTGAAGCTTCAAAGAGGAAAAGCCCAAGGAAGAAAAAGAATACAAGAGAAAAGAACTACTTAGAATATGGAGCTATGAAGCATCTGCAAGCAAATGTAAGTAAGTTGCTATACACCAAAAAAGTAAGATGATTACAGAGGAACGGTGGATCAATGGAAAGAGAAATAGCGATTCTTACTGTTTATGGAGGAAAAAATGACCAGCGGCGACAACAACTGGGATGATCAATGGTGCCGACAACAGAGGGAGGACGGCAATGGCAACTCTTTAGCATTTGTGATGACTTGATGTAGCAGCAGCGAAGGCAGAAAAGCAGAACGAGATACGGAGAGATGATTTTCGGAGGAGAAACGCAGAGATACGCAGAGGTGATTTTCGGAGGAGAAACGCAGAGAAGTAGAAGTCAGAGGTTACGTAGAGGTAATTTTCGGTGGAATAGAGTCTCGAACTTTTATATCTTATGGGGGCAATATTGAGATTTCCTATTTTTATCTGCTTACCCTTCATTCGAGAAATCAATTTACCGAATCAAATTTACGGTGGGTCTCACAAAATTTTAAAATCCGAACACAGGTAAACGAACATGGCCTTAGTTGCAAATCTCCGACCACCATAGTTGTCGAAGAGCAAATGGTCAACACACTCTAGTTCTCGCCTTGATGATTAATCAGGGGCAATTTCATAATTTTATTGGTTTTAGTATGGGTTAGTGATGATGCGCAACCCAGTCGGTCCTATCTGTCGGTTACCTCGCTTCTGACGAGATTAGAGGTGCCTGAAACGAGGAAGGAAATGGAGACTTCCGGGGAGGAACCCAGTTGGAACACTCCGAAGCTCAAATAGTGCTCTTCAAAAGACAAGGGAAATGAGAAATTCTGAGGTCAGAAAGCGCAAGAATCATGTACCTACTTCCCCATGAGATGGGGGCCTTTATAGTCACCTTGTATACTTACTCCCGAACCCTTGTCAGTTCGGGTATCATTACCTCTGCCAGATCGGGTCACTTCCTCTGACAGATCGGGTCACTTCCTTTGCCAGATCGGGGGTCATTTCGGGTGTCATAACCTCCACTGCCAGTTGTCGTCCCTGCCACGTCTGAGATGGCGGTGGCAGGTGGCCGTTGGGGGGGCGGCTATCATGTGTTGGACCCCTAATCAGTCAGGTGTGCCGCCTCCGCGTATGGACTTCCTAGGCGTCAGGTACGGTTCAGTCAGACGACTTGGGGCCGAAGTGGTGTGCGAGGTGAAGTCTTGAGCTCGGATAGAAGTGTGGCCTAAACTACCTCTGGGTGGGTAGTTCGGGTCTTTGCCTTTCGTGCTTTTTGTAAGGCTCAGGACCTTGAAGGGAGAGCTCGGGTTTCTCCTTGGAGAGCTCGAGACTCTTCAGCTCGGAGTTCGGGTTGTAGGTGCCCCTTTGGGGAAGCTAACTTTTTCCTTGAAGCTCGGGTTGTGGGGCCCGCTGTCGTGCCGAGCTGGCGTTTCTACCAGGTCACTCTCGGTTGCTTCTACGTGTCGTATGGCCAAGGGGTCGGGTCAAATCTTCCTCCATCAATTGCCCCCCACTCCCCATGCTCGGGGTCTTGACCTGGCGTGGGGAGTTCACGGGATGACAGGTGGATTTGCCTTGGGACACTTTGGCCTCGATATGGGACTCCTCTGGTCTGACCTGCTTGTGT